TGAACCAGTGCTGCATTCAACATACCACGTAACTCACAAAAATCAATGTTTATCTGCGTTTTTTCATATTTGCTTTTAAATTAAGAAATTGAGTAATATATAATACTAAAATTTGAAATATAATCTACAGTTTGATACCAAAGTTATTGACATAAATTCATGAAATAGTAGTTCAATAAAATTTTGAATACAAGTCAACAAACAAGATGAAATGGCCTTTCACCCGTACCCGTCTCGAAAGGGTTAATAGTCCTGTGAATTAACCAATGGTGCAATTGGTATCACCCATTAGCTTTGATTAACATTGCTTTATTTGAATTGAGATGTAAAAATCAAGCAAGAAATTTAGAAATATATGAATGAATAAAAAATATTGTAATAAAAATTAATCAATGAATTACCAAATAAACATATGTAGTAATACATCCAAATATATTTATATTTATTTCTGTCAATCTCAATTTATTTATTTTTAATTCTGGCATAAAATATCCTACATAATAAATCTCTGAATAAAAAGAGAGTAAAATTTATCAACTGTATTCATGCTCTAAGTTCAGGACACTAGTCATCATCATCATCTGTTTCCAATGCCCTAAATTCCTTGTTCACAATAGGTGAAACTAGTATATGTATTTTTCAATTATAGTCTGACTTTCATAACTAGAACACACTGAATATTTGTAATATCAATTTCTAATTAGTAAATTTGTACACAAAGTTTACAATACCTAGCAAATTACCCTTTGTTTCCTTGGTTTTGACATACAACATACTATGCATATCTTTTTACCATATATTTGTGCCAAAGTTTCTATTATTAAGATTTTTCAATTGTAATTCACTTGGCAACATCTGTTACTGATAAACAGAAGAAATAATTCTACTTTACTGCACTTCTCTGAGATAATATTAAATAGAAATTGTAGCACCAGAATTCTTCAAAAACATTTAATCCTTAAAGAAAACACTAAGAATTAATTTACTATTTTCACAAGTACTCTCATTCAACCTATAATTTTTTTATCTCAAGTATATCACTTGTTATCTACTGTAATTACATTGTAACACAATGACAAACAATTTGAATAAAACAAGTCTCAATCACTGGGACGAAAAAAATCACTTACCATCTGAAGCATGGTTTTTCAGAAGAAAACGGTTAATATCTAGATTCTCCCAACAGATCAAGATTTCTACAGCTCCCATCTCAAGAGCTTTGAGTGTGTCTTCAACACCAAAACAGTACTTTCCTGTATCTTGAGAGATTTCATCAAAATAACGCCCTGAAAGGAAAACATAACAGTACTGTACATTAAGAAAATTACACAAATATTTTTTAAGGCAGGGAGTTAAAATATAATTACACCTTCTCCCTTTCAAAAATGTTTTCATAGCTAAGAAACAGAATTTAGCAGAGTTAGTGAATACATTTCATATAATTTAGTAATTAATTGATTCTTAAACCAGTTACATAAACCAACAACATAAAACACACTACACAACATTGCTATTCTAATGATCTCATTAATGAATTTTTTTTCATAAAACACCCAGTAATGATATCCATCAAAATACATCTTTCAGATCTCCAAATTTTACTCAAGACTAATCATCATAACTTCCAAACGGGAAGTTTATTACACTTTATTGTTCAATGAACTTACCCTGTAACAATACAGTTTAAATTATAGCTTCCTAAATCCAAATGAACTCATCAAGAAAACTTATTTAAAAAAGTAAAACAAAACAAACTTCCAACCTATTAGTCTTTTCTCTTGTATAAACTTTACATTGGCAAGTACTTCTGCAGAAAGCTCAATAGCTTGGTTAAATCCATTCTCACCTCCATATGAAACATCTACCAGTTTTAGAATCTTGGCTTGAAGTCTCTATAAAAATTTTTTATATTGATTTAGAAAAAAAAGAAAAGAAAAATATCCATCCATTTAAAAAAGTATGGTTTTAACATTGACAATGATGCACTTTTTAAACTTCTGCACATGTTACTCAGTTGCATTCAAATATAACAATGTATTTTAACGAAATTATTATTATTATCAAATACATTATAGTTCAAAGTATTATATCAGTTTTTATTCCTTTATTTTAAAAAATCATCGTAACATTATAACAGCCCACAGCTGAAAGGGAAAGCATGTTTGATGGGACAGGGATTCAAACCCGTGACTATCAGATTGCGAGTCGAGCACCCTAACCACCTGGCCATGCCAGGGCCAATTGTTTGAAATAAGCACAAAGCTGTAAAATGGGCTATCTATGTTCTGCTCATCACGGGTATCGAAACAGTTTCTAGCGTTGTATGTCCACAGACATACCGCTGTGCCACTGGAGGGCAAGAAAGTAATAGTGCCATCATCATCTGGTATTCCCAGATGGTCACCCTTCCAAGTACTAACCAGGCCCAACACTGGATGTCTATGAGGATCAGACAAAATCCGGAATTTTACGAAATTATGCATATGACCAAAATACGATATTTTAAGATTATTCAATTAAGAGTTAAAAGGTATGTATATAATTCTATTTCTTAATTTTAAGCATGTCATTGCACTTTACATCGATGATAACAGTTAGAGTTAGTGATATGGTAGAGAAAACTGAAAATAAAATATAAATATTTACCTTAAAAAAACTTTTGAAATTCACTTAGGAGATTCTAGAGATATGCAAATAAAATGTGAAAACTTTAAGATAAAAAATAGTATTTTTTATACATAACATGAAAATCTCCTTTGCAAGTGAACTATTCAGAATCCAAGTGCAAATAACGAATTTTTAGTAGATATAGTAGAAAAAATTCAAAATCAAATATTTTTTATTTTTCTGAAACTTTATACTTTTAGAAAGTTCTTGTCAAAATTCAAATAACTTCATCTACTTGTTTCATTTTTGTAAAGAAATGTCACAAAAGTTATGTAACCTACTTCCTTATGTAAGTAGGTTGCTGTTAAAGTGTTAATTAAAGGTGGAGTCAAAATTCAAGTTAAAATAAATCTTTTTACTTTCATATCATCCTAACATATCATTAAAAAATGATATTAATAAATATAAAATTAAGCAAGCTTAACCACTGTTCTTAGTGTTGGAGTGCTAAATTTTTACTGAATTGCTATCTTATCTATAATTTTCTTTTTTTTGCATTTTCAAACTTCTTATTAGGGCTAAACGTTTTAGCTTCTCAGTCTGACTATTTTACAGTATAACCCTTTTACTTGTAACAGTCTATATATTAAGGTGGTAATTTTTAAAAAGTTAATGTACCTGGCACAATACATAATGTAATATTCGGCAACATTCAGTATTTCAAAGATACACTTAACAGAATAATTCACACACCTTAATATATGTTTTCTGGTTAACATATATAGACAAATGCCTTGACAAAAATGTCTTTAAAACTTTTCATCCAGCTTTTAAGACCAAACATATAAGATTTGTAGAATCGTCTTAAAACTTTAGTAAGTAACTTAAAATACATAAATTTCTTTCTTGAATCTTACAGGATCAAACATATCAGACTGGCTGAGTTCTGTTTTAAAGTCAGCTGATCCTGCTAAAATAAGGCCAGCAATATTAGGTTTGTCATTGGTGATGAACAGTTGGGTTGCTACCTCAGCCACTTTCCGCACATAATTATGTCTCTTTTCCATTCTTAATCTGGCAAATCGAAGAGCTGACTGTCCACCACGACCTAAAGAGAAAACAAACTATTGAGTTATAATGTCAATTTTTACATTTTAGTTACCTTATAAAAAATTATAAACTTAGAACTTACGTCTGGAATCGGGCCTTTTCTCATGGACAGACAAGGCAATCTAAAAGTACTTTTCTGTGACAATGTTAGTTGTCCACAAAATTATTCATCTTTATTGCAAGTGTGCATTTTAGAACAAAAACAAGTTATCATGCACTAAAATAGAATGTCCTAAAACTACTGTAATTTAACTGGCTTTCTGACTAAGCTATAAATAAGTTTAAAAAATTCTGTTAATTCATTGAGCTGAACACTAAAATAGTAACCAATGAAAATGATACTAAATATCTGAGTACCAAAACAAAATAACCCATATGTAAGCAATCTTTTAAAGAAAAAGCTGCTCTTTCTATTGGTTGTAAATAATCTAATAGTAATATCAGAGAGAATTACTGACAATTTTTGAAAAACAGAA